TAATGTTTTTAAAAGAAGTCCTCTTCTGCTCATCAAGGCTGCATTTATTTGATTAAAAAATATATATATTGTAAAATAGTTTTCTATTTGAATATATTTTATAATGTAATTTATTCCTGTGATCAAAGCTGAGTTTTCAGCATCATTACTCCAGTCTTCAGTGTCACATGATCCTTCAGAAATCACTCTAATATGATGATTTGATGATCAAGAAACATTTATGATTATTGTCAGTGTTGGAAACAGTTATTTATATTTTTATTTCAGGATTTTTTGATGAATAGAAAGTTCAAAAGAACAGCATTTATCTAAAATAAAATCTTTTGTAACATTAAACACTACCGTTCAAAAGTTTGGGGTCAGTAAGATTTTTTTTTTTGGGGGGGGGGGGGGGGGGAATAAATAAAATAAATTCATACTTTTATTCAAGGACTAATTAAATTGATTAAATGTGACAACATTTACAATGTTACAAAAGACTATTTCAAATAAATTCTGTTCTTTTGAACTTTCTATTAATCAAAGAATCCTGAAAAAATAATTTAAATAACTGTTTTCAACACTGATAATAATCATAAATATTTCTTGAGCATCAAATCATCATATTAGAGTGATTTCTGAAGGATCATGTGACACTGAAGACTGGAGTAATGATGCTGAAAATTCAGCTTTGATCACTGGAATAAAATACACTTTACTAGATATTAAAATTTTAAATTGTCATATTTTTTAACAATATAATTTTGTTTTAATCAAATAAATGCAGCCGTGGTGAGCAGAAGAGACTTCTTTTAAAAACAGTAAAAATCTTATCGATCCAAAACCTTTGACTGGTAGTGTATTAATGTGCTCAAATTAACTTGTGCTGAATATTTGTATTTTTTGTGCATTATAAAGTCACATTATCCACACATAAAAATCAAACCAATAATAACCAACAAACACTGAGAGCTATAAGACAAAACGGATGAAAACAATTTCAGACACTAGAATTTATTAAACCAGCAAACAATTGTACACAAAATAATACAAAACTCTGTTTTATCCCAGTGTTTCATTACAGGCAACATTGAATATGTAAGTAGCGCCACCTTGTGGAAAAGTGGAGTTACAGCTCTTCATTTATAGAAAAATCCTATTATAAAGAATTTTATATTATGTTTCTGGAGGTATCTGATGAATCTTCAGTCTTGCTTTAGTCCTACAAAAAAAAAAAAGAGACAAACATCAACCTTCAGATTATTAAAAGTCCTAAATACTTTTAGGAGCCACTGCATATTACATGTTTCTCTATAAATATACTTAGTTTATCGGTAATCAAACCAGCAAAGCATGCTGCTCGTATACACATTTACATATAGCGTGTTTTATTCAAATAATCTATACAAACAGAACAGGTTAAGCATATTTTTCAGTGTGTTTACTCACAGATCTCATCTCTCTCTCTCTCTCTGTGTGTGTGTGAGTCTGAATAAAGGTTATTTTGGAGACGATGTGGGTGTGTGTCAGAATGTGTGATATCTGTGCGATAGGTGACGTAACTGCAGGAATGTTGTGTGGGACGGGAACAAATCACAGCTAATCTTTCCAGGAGACCCTCCTAAAAAGCACCCGCCCTAGATAGTGCATCTTTACTGTTTACAGTCGTATAAGTGGACCACACCTCAATCAACCTGTTTTACCAGCCCAACCCGGGCGACTTTGGTCATTATGTCTGTCCACTGAGTTCATTTATTGCTGATAAATGGAAAACAAGTCACTCCCAATACCTGTGCATTATTAATACAGCATTCAAAGTGTGTTAAAGAGATTACCGAATCACTGGAGGAGGACTTGTGGCCGTCCTTCTTCTTGTGGTCCTTGTCCTTCTTCTTCTTCTTGTCTTTGTCTTTATGTTCTCCTTTGTCCTTGTGTTTGTCTTTATGTTCTCCTTTGTCCTTGTGTTTGTCTTTATGTTCTCCTTTGTCTTTATGATCTCCTTTATGCTTGTCCTTACCCTTGGAATCACTCTGAGACAAAATGTAAAATTACTGAATAAAACTAATGGCATTCTCATAAACTAGCATTTACATCTATGACTGCACGTCGTAACTGCTCATATTTCATATTTAATAGGGAAGTTGCTGTGGCTATTGTTTAAATTTGTAATATCTATAACACTATTTCCATATGCAAAATTATTATCCAGGGCTAACTGATGTTTAATATAAACACTTCCCTTGTCCTGTGTGCTGTACAACACGAGGAAAAATGTGATTTCTGTCTTATTTACCTCAGTATGACAACAACACTACGATCACAACACATATTTCTGTGGATACTGGCGTTTCGTAAACTAGATTTATGAATTTTTACCTTGTCTTTGCTTTTGTCTTTATCCTTCTTTCCTAACCCAAAGATTCCCTCCACTTGTTTTCCCTCTGACTTTTTCACCTCGTCATCTCCAACAGCTGGGAAAAGGAGAAAGAGTAGATCAAAACAAACACTAGTTTCACTCTGAAATCGTTAAATTAGGCTACCTGTATTCAACCAGTGCTTCTTAATTCAAGTTAAAATGTTTTTAAAAAAAGCTGTGCAGCATTTTACCTGCTTTCAGATCGAAGTCCATGATGAGGCAGTTGAGTTATTACACTCTCTGATCGACGTTTAGGAAAGATCTGCGCTTTCAGATGAGAGATACGCAGTTACAAACCAAAAAGATGTGCAGTCTCATGAATATTAATTAGGTAGCGTTACGTCAGCACATTCCGAATGTCTGATTGGCTGGAATGCAGAAGGTAAGCGAGTTAGTTAGCGAATGGAATTCAATGCGGAAGCATTCGGTCATGCATATTAATTAGGTGGTGTGATTGGGCCATGACATTGCATATTCATTAGTTAAACGTTAGTAATTGTCGCGTCCAGGTGTCCAAGTCAGGTGTGTGTTTACGGAAGTATCTGTTTCTGCTCCAGAAGAACTACAAGTAGCCTATCTTGTTATCCAAGTATAACTGGAAGTATCCTGTTTCTGCATTTTATCTGGTAATATAGGCTATTCAGACATGAGAAATACAATTGCCAGCTTTATGTGTCTTTACTTAGTTAGTATAATGCTTTTGTGAAAGTCTGAGAAGTTATACAAACACTTATCTGCTAATCTCCCTACTAGAAAACGCCCTACTTTTTACTCTCCATGTTATCAAGAGATGTGAATTGTGTTATAAACAAATGCGCTATAAAAATGCACGTCACGTGGGATCATATGGATATGAAAAAAAAATCATTTTACAAAATGTTCAATATGTGGTGTGTTGTACAGTAGCCTATACAAGCGTGCCAGGGTAAATATTCCTCAAAGGGGGTTTATTTTGAAAAGTCACTTTTGTAAAAAAAAAAAATAATAATAATAATTAACACATCATTATTACCCAGTTGACCTTTGGCGGGGCATGTTGTCACACTATATGTGAGTCAGATTGGGAACCTGCTGTGCATTGACTGATGTGAGAAAATATTTGTAATGTGACATAAAACCAATACATTTTCAACAATATAATATTTCAAATGTTTTATAAGCTATTTAGTTGCTTTAACAGAAAAAACAATCAAAAACTGTAAAAACTAACAACATTTTCAGAGATTCGCACATCATAGAAAATATAACAGCTTCCACCAATATGTAAAATTTACATATCAAATATTTAAAACAAATGGTGCAACAAGGAGAAACCAACATGCAAAACCACTGCTAGAGAAAACAAGGATGTGTGCAATAACATTGACCCAAAACCTTTAGTTTCTGAGAGAAAGCCCTTAGGACACCATCCATGTGACAACTAGCCACACACACACACACACACACATCATGGAAAGTGTCTTGTGCATAAGTTGTTGTGAATTTACAGAGATGATTTGAGGAACGTGGATCATAAACTGAGCAATCAGTCATCAGGATCGATGCGTTTATGACACATCTCCTGCATTTGGTTCCTGATGAATCTTTCATGCATATTCTCTGCCCTCTCTTCAGCAAGGAAACCGGTTTGTCTGAAACACAGGGGCGAGTCTGGAACCGGTGCGTTTACACATGTAAACTGGCCAGGACTGTGTTATGTTACTTACATGTGAGAATTATGAGCACAAAACATGATGAATGTGGGGAAAAGTAGCAGCTTTACTGCATTAATATAGAGCTGAACAGTGTGTGTATTCAGTGTTTCTGCATCAGATGAGGCTCAGAAAACGAGTCAGAACGACACATTTGAGTCTTTTGTTTGAAATTGTAGGACTTTACAATAAGGCCCTTTTAGTTCATGCATTAATAACAATAAGCAGTACATTTGTTTCAGTTATTAATCTGTTAGTTAGTTAGTTAGTTAGTTAGTTAGTTAGTTAATAAAAAATACAACTGTTCATTTTTAGTTCAAGTCCCCCTGTGGTGTAAATCCAGTTTTTAATGTTGTCTATGTGGTGTTTTTAATCTGCTTTAAGACACACCATGTGTAAGTTCATAAGTCGACAGCATTGCTGAGTATTTCCTCCTTAAAACTGCAGTGAACCAAAGACAGTCTCAAACACACGGTTTGAAATCGCTGGTGTTTCTGACGTCACAAACGACCTTGTAACCAATCAGATCAACGTGTGATCGTCAACCAGTGGATCTCTGAGCTGAGTGAGTGAGTGGAGGCGGGGCTCATTTGCATATTCATAGAACCGCGAATACTAAATGAGGCAAGGGTGTTGAGTTACATTCAAGATATTTTAAGGCATGAAGAATGTTTTTTTCAAGGAATTTTTTTTTAAATATGTCATTTTGGTGATAAAATGACAGGCGACTTTAACAGATACAACTTTTGATTTTAATAATGTATTCGTACATTTAGAAAATGAACATTAAGATTAATAAATGCTTTGAAGTATTGTTCATCGTTAGTTAATGAGATCTAGTGTTACCAGCTAAAGATAGCCAGATAGTGCGTCTGAAAGGCTTTACGGCCGTAGTGTGTATTTTACAACACGCC